TTTTTTTTTTTTTTTCAAATTTATGCCATGCGTTATACCTGGGCAGAGTTTCCCTCCTCCCCCTCCCATACCCCCCAATTCTTCCTGAGTTTTTTTTTCCCGCTCTCCTTTTATTTGCCCTGAGTATTAAAATGGATAAGGGGAGACCCCTATCAATCGAGAAACATTAAACTATAAAAACACAAAGCTGAACTTTTGATCATTAAACATCACGGAAAGACTGAAATTGATCAAAAACAGACAGAACGTGCTAAACCTGTAATAGAGATTAACTTCTTTTCATTTATTTCGGGTTTTTTTTTCCTGTAGGAGGAATTTATAAACAGAAGCATTTGCTTACATTCTCTCTGGTGTGGAACTGGGTGCATTAGAAGATTTCCTTTTAATTAAGACCCATTAATATACTGCCAAACAACACCAAAGTGCCCCACTCGTAATAATATGAAAATTAAATTATTTCATCTTCCAGTTTATTCCACCATATGCAAAAGCCCAAATATTTCTATGCAGCCCAAATATTTTTATGCAGGGAGGGGAAGAGATATTATTATAATATTGTGCAAAGCTAAAATTCAGACAAAAGTCCAGATCATATTTGGACAGCTTCCCCTAATTCTTCATGATTTTTGTTACACAAATTTTTTTTTAATAGGCAGTGCACAGGATCTCCTTAGAGAAATCCATATTTTCCCTTTGTTTCACAGCGGGCGGGGAAGCTCGGAGTTCCATATCAAATGCTATAAGCTTTTTTTCCAGAGTGGGGGGAGCAGGAAGGGGTCTGGCAAGATGGATTGGCTTATAGCTGTTTACATATAGTCTTTCTATTCATCAGAAGCCCTGGAAAAAACAGGACATAAAGCTATTTGAGTGGCCGGGTAAGCCTTAGGTTTAAAATTTCAAGCCAGTGTAGTTTGGGTGTGTGTGTGTGTGGAATAGTCATCATAATTTAAAAGCTGATATAGACAGACAACAAAATAGATAACAAAATTTTCACTGACCAATTTGAGAAATCATGAAGAGAAATCATGAAATAATAATCTAGCAAAACAAGCCAGAATCAGGATCGCTCATGTTTTAAAGTCCCCAAAGTGACAAAGCAAATATGATTGTTTATCCAATTTAATAGGCAGAGGATAGACAGGCAGATAATTATATAACCAAAAAAATTATTCAATTAATATTACATTTTAAAAGCATAATAGAAGCAGTAGAAGAAAGGATTCAGGGGAGAAATCTGTTGTCATCTCATGGTTTACAGCACGTGCTTCAATAGAAGAATAAGGAAAGGCAACTAGGCATTTTGACATTGCCTGTTCTCAGAATATTATGCCGTTTTCTTTTTTGATTCAAGCAGGTAACTAATCAGTTCCCAGACTTTTTCATGAGTATTTTTTTAAAAAAATACTATATTTTTTTTTAAAAAAATCCATTGTTTTAGGTAACCAGAATAACCATGGGTATCCTTTTAAATTAAAAAAAAAATTTAAAACCTATTGTTTAAATCATGCATCTATTTCTCAAATATGACTTTATCTTATTTCTTATTTCCTTTTTACCTCTCCCTCATCTTTAGGACTAGAGGGAGAAAGTGGGGGAAATGACATCCTCATCCTTTGCTGTATAATTTTTAAAAAGTGCATCGTTGGAGAATTGTAGGACTGAACAAATCACTGGCCCATCTCAGGGACAGATTTCTCTTTCTCTTGAGGAAAAAACAAATTACATCTTAGATATCTTTTGAAAAACTGTGGTGATTCTTCATCCTGCTATGAATGAAATTTAGATCTGCAGTAATTCATTTAAGAAAAGTTTAACTTTTTTCTGGTAAACAATTCTTTTTTTTTTTAACCAGTGAGGAAGCACTCACAAATGTCAGCCAGCCATTTCTCCATTAATTGGGATTACATATTTTCCAAATTGTTCAATTTACCATCTCATTAAAAGACACCTTTGGACTCATACCGTATTAACCCGTATCGCAAACTGTATGTACACACACACACACACACACACACACACACACACACACAGAGATATAGTTGTGAGTTTGCATTCTATGTGTCATATTGTTAATGACACAAAATCAATTTTAATTCAATATAGTTTGTATCGTATTTGTGAGTTACCTCTTTAATAATTCTTGATTCTGCTGGGTGTTCTCACTTCTAGTTCCTTATACATTTTATTAGTGGCATTATGATTGTGGGGAAATACCAGAGTATCTGGACAAATATATATTCTGGAATATGAGTGCGCCCTCACGTGGAATGTATGTGTATAGCATACAAAGTGTTCTGTTTTCAATCCCTGTATTTTCTTTTTTTCTTTTGACCATTTTGTTCCCATTCTTTGTTAAAAAAGAATATAAGAATCAATATAAATATGTACAATATATTTATAATTGTTCCTTTAAATGTTTACAGTATTTATTTACAAGGGAATGCGAATTCAACTCCCCTTTGTAAAAATGGTTAAACATTGAATAGGGCTGATAACTATTTTTCATCATAGAAAGATAATTTTCCCTCAAGTATCTTAAAGCAACCATTCAGATTACTTGAATTTCCTGTGAAACATAGACTAGCACCTGCATTTCAAGGTATCAATTTTTGAAGTAATCAATGTTCCATAGGAATCCAATAACTCTTTCTCATTTATTTTAAAGGGATGGAGTCAATTTGTTTTTTCTTGATTTACGTAGATAAAGAACAGTAATGCTTTTGCAATTAATACTTTACATACCAAAAACCCTTATGACAATATTTTTAAAATAAAATTGTTATTTAAAGGCAACTGAAGAGGATTTTTGTAATACACACACTGGTGAAATATTCTGAATGTTTCGTTGTAGATAAATATAGAGGAGTGCTAAGGTTAAATTGATGGATCCATTGATCTGAATTGGTATGCAGTCCTTCTTTGTTATGCACCCATGAGGATATGCCAGTGTGAGATAGGAGAAGCAAAGGGGGGAAACAGGAAGTGAGGAATGGGTAGGAAGCCCAGAAGGGTGGGTGGTAGTTGAATATAAGAGGCAAAGCTTTGAGGCTTCTAATTATTCATAAAGGTTAAAGGTGATGACCTTGACATCTTGGAAGTTCAAAGGCATATACTTAATTTTTCTGGTTTAAATTAAAAAAAAATAAATTTTTCTCCCAATCTTCTTACATTCTCTTAATTTAAGGCTTACTTTGTGCATTTCCTGGTATTTCATTCTTCCAATCTGGCCTTTAATGAACACAAAGAGAAGGCAAACTATTCCTTTTCTTTTTCTTTTCCCTTTTCTGTTTCTTTCTTTTAAAAAAAGTCAAATTGTTTTCTCACTTGCCTCTTTTATTGCACTTGTGGAAATCTCTTTCTTTTCCCCACCCAACACAAGGTGTACAATATAGCCTAATTAAGCCGTTACAGACCCTGGGTTTTTATGGTGTTGTCTAGACAGTTCAAGGTTTTGTAAACAGCTTAAACAGGCCACAACAACAAAGTGGAGAGAAGAATCTCTACCAAATTCCTTCAGGAGAGTGGGGGGGGGGAAGGGTTAGCCATTTAGTAGTAAAACAGATCAATCCTTCTATTAATTTGTCTCTGAATGTCAATAATATGCAAGAATGCCTTTAAAAATTGCTCTCTTGAATGTAGTTCCTCCTCTCCGCTTCCCATGAATAAGTTCAAGTTTTGGAGCTGGAAGTTTCTAAGAGTGGATTGCATCTACCGGTAAGACCACAGCCGAGTTTCTCCAAACCTTACAACATAGTGAAATTTCATCTTATGGCTTCACAGCTGAAGTTCCAATAGGGGTATTTTTATGAGCCATTTAGAGTCCTAGAATAAAATACTTGCAATGTTTAGTGATAACCATGGAATGGATTTTGCACACGTTCGGCTATTCAGCCCTCGGTGTGGAAAACATTTCCCTTTCTGGATTTGCCCCCTTAAAATATAAGGTCGTGGGACCACATGCAGTTTGATACAGTTTCATGTGGGCTCAGAAAGGATACAGAGGTGCTTTTTCAGAAATGGATAATTTAACAGATGATGGAAATGGAAGAGACAGCCTCAGCTTTGCTAGCAAATCACGGAGGTACAAAAAGTACAAGGCAGCCTTCCGTGCCTTGTATAAGACAACAGAGTTCCCAACCTTCTCTAACCAGCACGATGCTATGGATCCAATGCACCAAATTGTCCCCTTTAACCCTGCTATATGGTGCGTGAGGAGGAGGAGAAAAGAGTAACCGAGGATGCTTAAAGCGCCGATTTTAAAACTGTCAGATTCACACAGAGGTCTCATGGTTGCAGCCATGAAAAGCCAGTGAGAAAATAAAATAAATGAATATTGTGGGTGATTTGGGTTTTTTTTCTTCGTTTGTTAAAGAAGACAGGCAACACTACAGCATTAGGATGGAGTATTGGATTTACCCCAGTTGCTTTTAGGGAGGTTTTGCTCTATCAATCCCATGAGATCACCAGGAGACAAAGAATTAGCAAATAATAATAATAATAATAATAATAATAATAATAATAATAATAATAATAATA